AAAAAAAAGAGGGGTGGATGGGCAGGAGAGGAGGCTGCAGAGGCCACAGAGGCCACAGAGGCCTCATCAGGAGTGTCAGGTCAAGTGTGTTCCACTATGGGGTATGGGGAGCCTTTGAAGGACTGTCCACCCAAGAACTTTTTTTTGAGTTGGAGTCTCACTCTGTTATCCAGGCTGGAGTGCAGTGGCACACTCACGGCCACCACAGCCTCAACCTGCTGGGCTCAGGTGATCCTTCCACTTCAGCCTTCAAAGTAACTGGAACTATAGGTGCATGCCACCATGCCTGGTTAATTTTTTGATTTATTGTAGAGAGGAGGTCTTGCCAAGTTGCCCAGGCTGGTCTCGAACCCATGGGCTCGGGAAATTCTCTCGCCTCAGCCTCCCAAAGTGCTGGGGTTATAGGTGTGTGCCACTGCGCCCGGCCACTAAGGGACTTTTTAGGGGCAGGAGGGCTATTTAGGACCGAGGGGGCTGGTAACCCAAGCAGCATGAGACGCTGGAGTAAGTAGAAGCAGGATTGTGGGGCATGAGGGGGACAGGCTGGAGAGTTGGTGAGCTGGGATTTCACATGTTTCTTGAAGAGGGAGCTGGGGAGAGAGGAACCTGTGCCCTGACACGGGCATCCACAGTCCCCAGGGGAAGGTGGTGGGAGGGTGGCTGGAGCATGGAAGCCGCAGGGACATGGAATACACAGCAGATGTTTCCGGGCTCCAGCCCTACCTGTGGAGGGAGGAGGATGTGAACGCAAATGGGCCACCTCGGCAGCAAGACTGTGCCCTCCAAGGCATGGAACCGGCTCTAAGGGCCAGGCAGCCGCAGGTCAAGGTGCACGCACTCTGCCCCAACTGTGAGCCCATCCTGGCCTTCTTACCTTTCCCATTTCCTGCCTTTCCAGGGGCCCCATCTCTCCCGCTTTCCCTGACTTTATAGCGCCCAGTGAGGCCCCAGTGGCGCTTTGTGGTGGGGAGGCTGCCAGGGTTCTCTGAGAATCCCAGAAAGGTATCATCTACGCAGAAATAGCAGTGCCCCTCTGTCCCTACACAGGGAATTTTGCATATGATTTCAAGGGCCCTGAAGCCCACCTCTACTCAAAAGAGGAGGGGGATGAGGGAGAGGCTGTGAGGGGTCTGGAGAGCCTAGTCCAAGGAGGGGTGGCACTCCCCTTGTCCCCCTTAGGGAGATCTGGAGGAGGGGCCTTTCAGGTGAAGAGGGAGCCACAGCCCCCCACCAAGTGCCGGTTTTGAGGCTTCTGGAGGGGGAGGGACAGCCTGGGAACCGGTCTGCCAACCAGTTTAACCAGGGACTGGTTTCGACTTAGAGAGTTCAAAGGAAGCTGGGGTGCACCCCGTCCTGCCAATACTGCCAATGGGAGCAGCAGCCCTTAACCCTTTCCCAGTTGTGCCCTGGGCAACGTCCAGGCAGTGGTCTAGCCTGGAGTAGGGTCTGAGCCTTTTTGGAGGATGAAATGGGTGGCAGTGACCTTGGTTACAGCTAAGGGAGCGACCACACATCCCCAAGAGTGGGGAAACTGAGGAGAGGCTCCCATGTCCCCCCCACCCCAGGCTTCCCTCAGGATTCCCTCTTCCGGCTTGGCGGTCCCTGGAGGACCCTGGCTTCTGGGTGGATGCAGGGGCGCTGGGATTGGATTTCTGGAGTGATGAATATTCATCAGCCTGAGCCGGCCTCTGCTTCTGTTTACTTAGCCGGGAGGGGCTGGGTTTCAGGTTCACCTTGACTCCAGGAGCTGTGGCCGGGCAGGTACCCGTTCCTGCACCTGTTCCTCCGCACCTGACGCACAGCGGCGCCGGCCCACCTCTGCTGGCCTGAGCCTTGCCCGGCGCAGCACCCTGGAGGCACCCCTCCTCCCCCGGTCTCGCCCTCCTGGGCAGCTCCTACACTCAACTCCTCTAGGGAAGGTGTCACCTCCAGCCCGGAGCAGTCAGGATTACAGGTACAGGCAGAGGACTGGTGGGTGGGGAAACAAAGGCACAATCCCCAGTCAGGGCACTCAGTTCTGCCTTCATGGCTGAGGAGGCCAGTGGGGAAGGGGAATCCAGGCTCGCTGTCTCCGCTCCCACTCCGGACTCATCCCACTGGCCTTTTGAGTCAGCCTAGGACTCCAGGAGAGCTCCTGCTGGGAACATTTCACTTCAGGGTAGTTTTCTATTAACTCTGGTTGAACCACAGCTCTGATCCCTAGCCTGGAGCACATTTTCGGCTGTCTGGTAGGAACAGATCTCTGTTCTTATTCAGGGTCCTAGACCCTTTCAGCGTGGACAAGGGCCATTAGGGGCCCTGCAGAGAGATGGGGGAGGGAGTTCCAGGCTTTGTCTTAAACACAGAAGCTGGCTCACTCCCCCCATTCGCCCCGCCACCCCTCCATTGCCACTCCAGTCAATGGTTAACTTGTCCCAGGTGAGAAGGGGCCCAGCCCAGTCTGGGTAGAGCCCTCCAGAGCAGCTCACAGAACCCAGCTGGGGTGGAGGGGCCTGTCCTGGGGCACCGAAATGCACACCATGGTGCTGGCCGCAGAAGGCCAGGATGGTAGGCTGTCCCAAGTGGCCCTTCATGGGCTCCAAAGCTGTGCAAACAGCAGAGTGCAGCTGGCCTCCTCTGAGGCTGATTTCCATCATCCCGTGGGTGGCAAGGCCTCAGGGCAAGGGCCCAAGCCTTGGTATGGCCTGCGCAGAGACCTGCAAGAGAAGACTGCGGGGCTCACCACATGTCCCCAAACTCTGGGTCTATTCAACCTGCCCCCACTCCCAAGTTCCCCTCTGGGCCTCTGGGGTCAGGCACGGGCATGCCACATAGCTCTCTTGCTCTCTGCATCTTTGGGTATCTGGGAAGCATGGACATCACGTCACCTTTTGTTATTGCTTGTTTTTAAAGCAAATCAGATTTTGCATTATCTTTTATAATCGCTATTTAAGGAATCCTAGTCCAGGTGCAGTAGCTCATGCCTGTAATCCCAGCATTTTGGGAGGCTGAGACAAGAGGATTGCCTGAGCCCAGGAGTTTGAGACCAGCCTGGGCGACACAGCGAGACCTCGTCTCTACAATACATTTTAAAAAATGAGCCGGAGCCAGGCTCGGTGGCTCAGCCTGTAATCCCGCGCCTTTGGGAGGCTGAAGTGAGTGGATTGCCTGAGCCCGCGGGTTCGAGACCCGCCTGGGCAGTGAGACCTCATCTTTACAATAAACCAAAAAATCAGCCGGGCATGGTAGCGCATGCCTGTAGTTCTGGCTACTCGAAAGGCTGAGGCGGAAGGATCGCCGGAGCCCAGCAGGTCGAGGCTGCGGTGGCTGGGAGCGGCCACTGCACTCCAGTCTGGGCGACAGAGTGAGACTCCAACTCAAAAACAAACAAACAAACAAACAAATGAGCCGGGTGTGGTGATGCATGTCTGTAGTCCCAACTACTTGGAAGGCTGAGGTGGAAGGATCACTTGAGCCCGGGAGGTCAAGGCTGTGGTAGCTGTGATCGTGCGACAGTCTAGGCGACAGAGTAAGATTCCGACTCAAAAAATAAAATAACACTAAATTAAATTTTAAAAAATTCCTACAGCTGGATTATTTTGTAAAACAAAGAATAATTCGCTAATGTATCTGTTTTACAAATTCAGTCTTATCTAAAGCGGCTGTTTGCTGCTTACTGGTGCTCACATGTCTTCCTGGTCAGAAAAGACAGGAAGGCCTGGAAAAGAGTATCCTAGAGACCAGGGTACAAGACCAGGACACAAGGGCACTGACACCTTGGCAGAGACCCCGGCATAGGGAACAAGGGGTGTTCCCATCTGTAGGTTCTCTGACAAGTTCCTTGTGATGTGAGGCTTCCTTTACTCCAAGCAGAGTTAAGCTCGGTGGATGCCAACTTCAAATACTCCTTAGAATAGGCACTTTTTTTTTTTGAATCAGTCTCACTTTGTTGCCCAGGCTTGAGTGCAGTGGCACACTCACGGCCACCGCAGCCTCATCCTACTGGGCCCAGGCGACTGTTCTGCCTCAGCCTTCCGAGTATCTGGAACTACAGGTGCGTACCACTATGCCAGGCTAATTTTTTTATTTATTGTAGAGACAAGGTCTCACCATGTTGCTCAGGCTAGTCTCGAACGCCTAAGCTCAGGCTATCCTCCCACCTCTACCTCCCAAAATGCTGGGATTAAGGTGTGAACCACCACACCCGGCTTGAAATGGGTACATTCTAACAGGCACAGGCAGGAGCCCCTTTCTCTTGTGGAGCGAGGAAACCTGATGACCACCGCAGGCTCAGGAGCTGGGTCTTCTGTTCCTCTGTTCCCCAGGTCCCTTGGCAGCTCCAGATGGTGGGGTGGTAGTGGGCTGTGGACCTCGTCCCAGACAAGGTAGCAACGGGGACACCCACAGACCAAGCAAATGCCCGTCCTGCCATCCCTGCCCTCCCCACACCTCCTTTCAGAAACTCATTCCAGAACACCAAGTTCTGTGCAAGGCCGTGCTAAGCCCAGGTGGGGCAGGCTGCCAAAGCAAACCTCTCAGGCTGCCCCTGGTGTGCCACCTCTCCAGGGTGCCCCGAACGTCCTTAACTGGCCTTGCTAACCTTGTCCTCCACTTTCTAAGTGGGAGCTGCATGAGGGCTTTCTCGGCTCTTCATGCTGCTGGAGCCCAGCTCCAGGGACAGAGCCGGCCATGTGGGAGCTGCTTCCCAACAGCGAGGTGGGCCTGTGCTCTAGGGCAGGGGTGGGGACATGAGGGACGGAGACAACAGCAGTGAGGGACACAGATGCAGGTGTTCAACTCATCACAAGCCTAGGCCAGCATTCTGCTTTCATTCTTCCTGAATTTGATCGGCTCCCCCACCTCTAAAAAAATCTGTACTCATTATGGAAATTCTGGAAGTCAGAAAACTAGAGTGGAGAAAGTGTCCTTTACTCCTGCTACATAAAGAAAACCAAGAGTCATCACTTGGAGTATTTCTCCCTGGTCTTTTTAGAAAGTGCAGTGAACACCTCCAGTTTTTAATTTTTTTAATTTAAAAAATTTTTGTTCTAGGAACCCAAAGGCATCAGTGTATTAAGCTAGTGGTAAAAATAAAATAAAATAAAATATTAAAAATAGAAGCCAGGCTCGGTGGTTCAGCCTGTAATCCCAGCACTTTGAGAGGCCAAGGCAAGTGAATTGCCTGAGCCCGCGGGTTCAAGACCAGCCCGGGCAACTTGGCAAGACCTCGTCTCTACAATAAATAAAAAATTAGCCAGGCACAGTAGCTCACGCTTGTAGTTCTAGCTACTTGGAAGGCTGAGGCGGAAGGATCGCCGGAGCCCAGCAGGTCGAGGCTGCGGTGGCCGGGAGTGGCCACTGCACTCCAGTTTGGGCGACAGAGTGAGACTCCAACTCAAAAAAAAAAAAAATAGAGATGAGGTCTCGGTGTGTTGCCCAGGCTGGTCTTGAATTCCAGAGATTCTTGCATCCAGTGATCCTCCTGCCTTGTTGGCCTCCTAAAGTGCTGGGATTACAGGTGTGAGCTACAGTGGCTAGCCATTGCTCTCCAGCTTTTTTTTGAGTCAGAGTCTCACTCTGTCACCCAGGCTGGAGAACAGTGGCACACTCATGGCCACTGCAGCCTCGACCTGCTAGGTTCAGGTGATCCTTTTGCCTCTTTAATTTATTGTAGAGATGAGATCTCGCCATGTTGCCCAGGCTGGTCTCGAAGACTTGGGCTCAGGTGATTCTCTCACTTCAGCCTCTCAAAGTGCTGGTTTTACAGGTGTGACCCATTGCACCCAACTCATCCTCCAGCTTTTAAAGGAGGGGAATGGTGGCTCAAGCCTATCAGCCATCAGGCCGGGCATGGTGGCCCAAGCCTATAATCCCAGCACTTTGGGAAGTCAACGTGAGGGGTTTGAGGTCAGCCTGGACAACTTGGTGAGACTTCATCTCCACAATAAATAAAAAAAATTATCCAGGCATGGTAGCACATGCCTGTAGTTTCAGCTACTTGGAAGGCTGAGGCGGAAGGATCACCTGAACCCACCAAATCAGGGCTGCGGTGGCCAGGAGCATGCCACTGCACTCCAGCCTGGGCAACAGAGTGAGACTCCAACTAAAAAAAAAAAATGGAGGGGATATCATCTGGCTTTCTGATGTGCCCTGGCTGCACCCTCTTCCTCAGAGCTCTTGAAACCTGCAATCAGGAGGCCTGAGAAAGAGACCACCGACCTCACCTCTAATCCCCACTCTTCTGCCCGCTCTGCCGTTGATCTTCCTAGTTGACTGTCTCCTGCTTCTACTTCACATGCCCTATCAACGATGTCCACGCTTATCTCCCAGACCTTCCACTAGCTCAGACAGCACCTTTGTGGAAATCAGTAGAAGGAGAGGCCCCCGGGGAAGGTAGTGCTGTGTCAGGGCACATCACCTGTGAGTGGAGAAGCCTAATTTCACCACCCCACACCCCACCTCGTTGGTGTCCTCATGGAAGGTACAACCTGTGAGGACCACAGCTCATATGCGCCTCTGGGATCCACCTAACTGTCCCCCAGATCTTAGCTCCCCTTCCAACTCCTGTCCTTGTGGAAGCTTGGTGGGAAAAGGGGGCCGTTCCTTAATAATTATTCCCAGCTGTGTGTGGTGGCTCACACCTGTAATTCCAGCACTTTGGGAAGCAGAGGTGAGAGGACTGCCTGAGCACATGGGTTCCAGACTAGCCTGGGCAACTTGGTGAAACCTCGTCTCTGCAATAAGTCAAAAAAATTAGCTGGGTGAAGTGACGCACACCTGTGGTTCCAGCTGCTTCGAAGACTGAAGCGAAAGGATCACCTGAGCCCAGCAGGTCAAGGCTGCAGTGGCTGTGATCATGCCACTGCACTCCAGCCTGGGTGACAGAGTGAGCTTCTGACTCAAAAAAAAAAAATTTAGTCCCATTATCACATTTCTTTTCCCTTCTCAAACGTTTCCTTTTTTCTTTCCCTATCCATTCCTTCCTCTCCTCTCCCCTTCCCACCCCCCTGCTTTGTTGGAGTCTCACTGTCACCCAGGTTGGAGTGCAATGGCATGCTCGTGGTCATCACAGCCTCGACCTGCGGGGTTCGGGCAATCCCTCCACCTCAGCCATGCAAGTGAGATAGGATCTCGTTATGTTGCCTAGGCTGATCTCGAACTCCTGGGCTCAAGTGATCCTCTGACCTGGGCCTCCCAAAGCACTGAGATTACAGGTATGAGCCCACGACACCCATCAGCAAATGTTTCTAACGAATTGGCCGTTGCATTTCCAAAGCTCTGAAATGGCCAACAGACTAGAGAAAGATGATTCTTTAGGCTTCTGCTTGAAACCAACAGCTTTGGCAAACTGCTGGCCTTGATTCAGAGGCAACCATTATCATGCTTTGCCAAGCATGGCTACCTCTGTGGGCCGGGATTAATGGTAGAGTTAAATGCTAGGGCTGGATGCAACAGATGAGGAAACTAGGCCCAGAGAGGTAGCTTGCCAGAGATCACGAGGCTAGGATAGTCCCTGGGACTCCCCACATCCAGTCAGAGGTTCCCGCTTCTCAGGAAGAGCTCAGCAGCTACTTTAGCCCTGCGGGTCACCACTGGGAAGTTCAAATTGCTCAGAACATCACAAATCATATTTAATTTTACAATAAATTCCATGAACAATGCACAGGGCATGTCTGTGTGCAACCAGTCAATGTCTGCCCATGACTGACAATAGGGCCTCGTGGTGGGGTGGGAAGGGCTTGGGAACCGTGTCCACTGTGCCTGGACGCTGTGTGGCCCGGAGAAGCTGTCCACCTGCCTGCAACTCTGAGGGGCTTGGCAAGGATGATCTCCAAGCTCTCTGCAACCCAGCAGCGCGATGCTGTGTGCCTGTCCTGCTATCCTCCTGCCTGGCTCAGGTGGTCTCCCGGTTGACCTTGACTTTGACCCTCCTCTCTGCTCATACTCTCTAAAAGCATTGTGTCACCCCAGTTCATTGGGTCCTACCTTCAATTCTTCTATTCTAAAAACAACCCATGACTGGGAGTCTAGAGAGGGCTGGTCCAGGGCACCCACCCCTTTTCCTGCTGACTTTTTTGTCTCCTCCATCCGTCCCCGCAGAAAGTCCCACCCTCGGTTCAGGGAGCACCATGACAGAAGTTGGTTGGTGGAAGCTGACCTTCCTCCGGAAAAAGAAATCCACTCCCAAGGTGCTATATGAGATCCCTGATACCTATGCTCAAGCGGAGGGAGGTGCGGAATCGCCAAGGCCTGATGCTGGGGGTCCCAACAGCGACTTTAACACCCGCCTGGAGAAGATTGTGGACAAGAGCACCAAGGGCAAGCATGTCAAAGTCTCTAACTCGGGCCGCTTCAAGGAGAAGAAGAAAGTTCGCTCCACGCTGGCAGAGAACCCCAACCTCTTTGATGACCGGGAGGACAAAGGACAGTGAAGGGCCTGGGGAGGATGCTGGCACCTTCCAGCTCCCTGCCATCAGCTGGATCTGAGACAGAAGCTGGCTTCTTTGGTTATAGCTGAAGCCAAGGGGGCAGTTGATGCCTGCTGGCAGGAAATGTCTGGTTTTTAAGTTTGTATTTATGTGTCTGGGCTTTTGTAAGGCCTGGGAGAGCCCAGAGTCCTCTCACCTTGCCCCTGACTGCATGCAAAGGCACTCCGGCTCAAGAGTGGCGACTGTCACCCAGGAAGGACAGCTGTCCTTGAAGCAATGGCAGGGTCAGCAGGGAGGTGGGCATGGCAAGCAAGGGAGAGAGGGAGCCGGACAGACTTCACCTCCTCCTTGGGTACAGAGTCAAGGGTGAGTTCGAATTGCTACTCCCTGTACTTTCTCTATCTGTGACTATTCCCTGGGGCAATCCTGAGGAGGCCACATTTTCCAGAAGCCACGTAATGGGGGTGGTTTCCCTGGAGCCAGAGGCGGAGGCGCTGAACTTGAGCTTACCTCCTGACACAAGTGGTGAACTTCCTGGAACTTTGCCCCCAGGTGTGGAGGCAGAGGACCTTGGCACTCGGGGGAGGGGCATGCCACAGAAGGCCAGATTAGTGATCCCACGACACCTGCTTTGGCCACCTCCTGTGCAGATCCCACATCACACAGCCTCAATGGAACACTGGCCCAAACTGGGGGGGCAGGTGGTAGGAGCTCAAAGAAGCCAGTTTCCTCTCTCCTTCCTCTAATATTTAAGATGGATTAGCCCCAGAGATGCGTCCTGGAGCCTTGAATTTTGTTTTAAAAAAGAATTGTGGGTTTCTCTCTTTGTAATAAACACACAGCAAAAGCAAGGGACCTGTCTTGTGCCCTAGTCTTGCATTTATGAGATGACTGTTTTTCATGCTTTTACCTCCCTTCATGTAAGCAAAGTGGTCCTTCGTGCTCAAACTGTTCCTTTCTAGGAAGGGTACCCAGGCATGACAATGTAGTAACCAGTCAACAACTTTGCCCTCAAGCTAGGCACAGTATGGGGTTCATGGGAGCAGAGGAAGGAGCTATTACCCTCAGTGGCCGGTCCTCTCTGGTCAACAGAGAGGCCATCAGGTGCTCTAGGAGAGTGGAGCAGCCCTTTGGTGACTGAGCCCAGAGTCTTGGTGGTTTGCTTTGGGAACAAGATTCAAATTCTGGCTCCACTTCTTAGTAGCTGGGTGACCTTGGGGAGTTTTTTAAAACTCCTCTGAGCCGGGCTCGGTGGCTCAGCCTGTAATCCCGCGCCTTTGGGATGTTGAGGTGAGAGGATTGCCTGAGCCCGTGGGTTCAAGACCCGCCTGGGCAGTGAGACCTCATCTCTACAATAAATAAAAAAATCAGCTGGGCGTGGTAGCGCATGCCTGTAATTCTGGCTACTTGGAAGGCTAAGGCGGAAGGATTGCTGGAGCCCAGCAGGTCGAGGCTGCAGTGGCCGCTCCCGGCCACTGCACTCCAGTCTGGGCGACAGAGTGAGATTCCAACTCAAAAAAAAAAAACTCCTCTGAGCCTCAGTTCCCTCTTCTGTAAAAGGATGCTATCATGATACCTATTTCATGGGGAGTGGTCAGTATTAAGTGACCCATAAATAGTCCTACAGTAGTTGCTCAGTTAAATACTGCTTTCCAAGCTGGGTGCGGTAGCTGGTGCCTATAATCCCAGCATTTTGGGAGGCTGAGGCAAGAGGATTGCCTGAGCCCAGAGGTTCGAGACCAGCCTGGGCAACATGGCAAGACTTTGTCTCTACCATAAATCAAAAAATTAGCTGGGCGTGGTGGTGCATGCCTGTGGTTCCAGCTTCTTGGAAAGCTGAGGAGGAAAGATCGCTTGAGTCTAGCAAGTTGAAGCTGCGGGGTCTGTGAGTCTGCCACAGCACTCCCGCCTGGACAACAGAGTGAGACTCTGACTCAAAAATAAATAAATGAGCCGGACTCGGTGGCTCAGTCTGTAATCCCGCGCCTTGGGAGGCTGAGGTGAGTGGACTGCCTGAGTTCACAGGTTCAAGACCCGCCTGGGCAACTTGGCGAGACCTCATCTCTACAGTAAATCAAAAAATTAGCCGGCGCAGTAGCACGTGCCTGTAGTTCCAGGTACTTGGAAGGCTGAGGCGGAAGGATCGCCGGCGCCCAACAGGTTGAAGCTGCAGTGGCCGGGAGCGTGCCACTGCACTCCAGTCTGGGCGACAGAGTGACACTCCAACTCAAAAAAAACCAAAATTGGTTTCCTTTTTTTTGTTTTTTTTTGAGTTGGAATCTCATTGTGTCACCCAGGCTGGAGTGCATTGGCACATGTATGACCACCGCAGCCTCTCCTTGCTGGGCTCCGGCGATCCTTCCGCCTCAGCCTTCCAAGTAGCTGGAATTACGGATGTGCGCTACCACGCCTGGCTAGTTTTTTTATTTTAATGTAGAGATGAGGTCTCGCCAAGTTGCTAAGGTGGGTCTCGAACCCACGGGCTCAGGCAATCCACTCACCTCAGCTTCCTAAAGCGCGGGGTTACAGGCTGAGCCACCGAGCCTGGCTCCTTTTTTTTTTTT